GTTTAGGGTTTAGGGTTTAGGGTTTCGGGAACTTAGGTGTCTGGGTTTTCTGGTTTAGCCTTTCCTTATGTCTGGGGCCTAGCACATGGGATGTTGGGAAGGGGGAGGGGGGGGAGCCAAACTCCAAACCCCCACATCCAAAACCCCTAAGCCCGTGGCTCGCCACAGAAGGTCTGCATGATGTCGCTGTCACCGTTGGTCTGCAGATAGCTTGGGTTTGGGGCTTAGGGTCTAGGGTTTAGGGTGGGGAGTTTAGGAGTTTGGGGGTTTAGGGTTTGGGAGTTTAGGAGTTTGGGGGTTTGGGGTTTACGGGTCTAGGAGTGGTGGGGGTTTTGGGAGTTGGGGAGTTTGGGAGTTTGGGAATTCGGGGGTTTGGGGTTTACAGGTTTATGGTGTTCGGAGTTTGGGAGTTTGGGGTGTTGGGGTTTAGGGCCTTTAGGGTATACGGGCTTAGGGGTTCAGGCGTTTCGGGGTTTAGGTTGACTCGAAATCCTCGCGAAAGCGCCGACGCGACCTTAAACCACCCGGTTGCTTGCGCAACCAACTCAGCAGCTGCCGTGCAAGAGCTTCTTGGCTGACAGAGAAACTGGTTAAGCGATCTTGCCGCCGTGTCGTCGGAAAGTGCACTGCCCAAGATCTTACTTCTCCATGGGCTCTTTCGGACTTTGCGCCCACAAACACGCAGCACACACTGCGCTTCTGGCCACCAACTTACCACCCTTACCCTCTCTCAAGTGCCACGGAGCGTGCCCTTCCTCTGGAGGCCGCTTGCCCCCGCAGTCCTTACAATCCACAGGGATGTTAGTCCCACTTGGATTGTTCGCCTTCCGCTTGCCCAGCACTGCAACAAGGCGCTTGCGAAGATAGTCTTCTGTGGCCAAAAGATCGGCTTCGGATGTTTTTTCTTCTAAACGGCGAAGTCTTTTGAGTATGCACTTTCGCTCCGAGCCCAAACGGACTACGAAAAAAAGCTTTGGCATCTCCCCGCTGCACGGCCGTGCTAGGTTCTGCCGGGCAAGAAGTACACAAGTAAACATGAAAATGTATACACATCTGTATCCTTTCGTATGTGTCTAATTCTACCTATATATGTATATGTTTATTTATTTTTTTGTAACTGCTTATTTCGGAATCCCCAAGGTCACGCCGCCGCGGGGCGACTTTAAACAAGGCGGCACGACTTAACCCTACTACCCAGTAAACCCCAAACCCTAAGCCCTAAGCCGTCGGTCCTGCCTTGCACTCTTTGGACTGGCTGCGCCCCCAGTCATCGGCATATTCATCCAGGACCTGGGCATGCTACCATAGGGTTTAGCGCGTGTAGGGTCTAGGGCGTTTAGGGGTTTACGGGGGTTTAGGGGGTTTAGGGGCCTCAGGGTCTAGGGCGTTTAGGGGCTTTGGGGGGTTTAGGAGGTTTATGGGGTGGCTTATTGACAGAAGAGGTTTGGGTTTCCTTGGGAAGGAAAAGGCTTTTGTTAAACTTTAGGGTTCGGGTTGAGGGGTTCAGGGTTCAAAGCTTAGGGCTAAGGGTTTGGGGTTTAGGGTGCCAATCCCCACCCCCCCGAGGGTCCCCCCCCCCTCCCCGACCTCTAGGGTTTAGGGTTTAGGGTTTAGGGTTTAAGGTTTAAGGTTTAGGGTTTACGGTTTAGGGCTTTTGTGGTTTGGGGTTTTGGGTTCCTGTCAGGATTCTAGCGGTCAAGCACACTCGAAGCGCGTCATGATGGCCTTGTCGATAGTTTCAAGAAAGCAAACCAGAAAAAGGTTTGTGGTTTAGGGTTTAGGGTTTAGGGTTTAGGGTTTAGGGTTTTGGGTTTAGGGTTTAGGGTCTAGGGTTTAGGGTTTAGGGTTTAGGGTTTAGGGTTTAGGGTTTAGGGTTTAGGGTTTAGGGTTTAGGGTTTAGGGTTTAGGGTTCGGGTGTAGGGTTGGGCCGCCTAATCTAGCCAAAGAGCCCAATACCCTTAATTAAAGTGTATGCCCTTAAATGCTACTGAGGATCCCTATACAAATCAAGGTATACTCCTGAATTCAGGATGGGGGGGGGCTTCCGAAATTAGGGATACTCTAAACCCTAAACCCTAAACCCTAAACCCGATTGGGGTCCCTATGATAAAGGAATCCAACTCTTTGGGGATCGATCTTGGGGCTCCCCTATTTTCGTAAACCCCCGTATTGAGCCGCTTATCGAGCAACCTCAACTTGCAGAATCTTGAATGCCATTAAGGATCTCTATGTAAATCAAGCTATACTCCTGCATTTAAGGGATAAACCCTAAACCCTTAACCCTATAAACCCTGTAAACCCGATAAACCCTATAAACCCTAAACCCTAAACCCTAAACCCTTCCCTAAACCCCTTTTTGAGCAACCCTCGGATTGCACAGCCTCTCTCCAACTCTTCAAGCGTCCGGCCATGCCACCGCAACCGAACTGTTTCGTACGGTTCCAGGCATAGAGGAGCATCTCCTGTGCATACCGGTCTTCTTGGGGGTTAGGGTTTAGGGTTTCGGGTTTCGGGTTCAGGGCTCAGGGTTTAGGGCAGGCTGTGCAGCTTGATTGGCACCCACTTCCTATGCCCATAAACCTGCCAGAAACTGCCCCCGAATGACCCACACAGGTGGTAACTAGGACGGCCTGAAAAACCCTCTGAGACATGTTCCTGAAGATGACCCTCTTAAGCCCAATAAGGAGAAATGTACCATATCCAAGGGGCCTACCTAGAAACCCTAAACCCCAAACCCTAAACCCTTCATGTGGACCCCAGAAAAAAGACCCTATTTTGGAGAACCCCCCCCCCCCCCCCCCCCCCCCCGCGTACTGTGAACGTCAGCCGGGTGCAGCCCACTGCTGCCTCTCAAGACAAAAAAAAGAGATCATCGTAATGATTCCTAAGAATGACCCAATAGTAGTAGAGGGTACTCTGAACCCAAAACCGAAAATCCCTAAACCCTAAACCCGAAACCCTAAACCCAAAACCCTGAACCCCCATTTGAGGGCTCTACTTTCTGGATCCTCTCAGGGGTCTGGGCTACTGCACTTCCCGTCCTGTTGCAGCTCAGGCACCATGTTCGGCCTCGGGTTTCGGGTTAAGGAGTTTAGGGTGTAGGGTTTGGAGTTTAGGGTTTGGGGTTTAGGGTTTGGGGTTTAGGGCTTAAGGTTTGGGATTTTTGTAGGGTTTGGGGTTTCCAGAAATTGTGTAGAGTTTGTGTCCGGAGTCTTGGGCGAGAGTTTTCGGCGGGTTTTGGGCGAAAGTTTTGTTTTTTGCTTTGCGTCTGGAGGGGGGGTCTGTTGGGTACTTCTTTCTCATGAAATGAACCAGGATATGCATTTAGGGTTTGGGGTTTAGGGTTTACGGGCTTACGGCTTAGGGTTGAGGGGGGCTCAGGGTTTCGCGTTCGTCCGAGGGCTTAGGGAATGTCGGATTAGGTGCTTGGGGTTTGGGTGTGGGGTTTAGGGTTCATGTGTGGAGTTTGCGGGGGTTGGGTTAGGGTTAGAAGCCCAAGCCTGATAAAGTCTTTTGTTGGTGCCCAGGTAACCTTTAAAATGGGAGAATGCCCATTCTTGCCTAGTGGGGTCCATGAAGGGCGCCTGGAAAAAGGCGCGAACAACAAACCCTAAAACCCTAAACCCTAACACCCTAACACCCTGAACTGAGAGGTTCATGGTACTTAGTGGGTTTAAGGTTTAGGGTTGAGGGTTTAGGGTTTAGGGTTTAGGGTTTAGGGTCTAGGGTCTAGGGTTTAGGGTTTAGGGTTTAGAGTTTAGGGTTTAGGGTTTAGGGTTTAGGGTTTAGGGTTTAGGGTTTAGGGTTTAGGGTTTAGGGTTTAGGGTTTAGGGTTTAGGGTTTAGGGTTTATAACTGTACTTATAACTTATATCCCAATTGTAAGTCCCCTGAGTCTAGTTACCTACGCTATAGTTGGGTTATAAGTACAAATCTCTAAACCCTAAACCCTAAACCCTAAACCTTAAACCCACTAAGTGCCATGAACCTCCCAGTAGGGCAGAGGGTCCTGGGTTCAGCTTAGCGATCTCCCGAGGTTGTGCGTGGTCTGGGACGTTTAGGGTTTTAGGGTCTGGGGTTTAGGGTTTAGGGTTTAGGGTTTAGGGTTTAGGGTTTAGGGTTTAGGGTTTAGGGTTTGGGGTTTGGGGTTTGGGGTTTGGGGTTTGTGGTTTAGGGGGGGTTTTCCCGACTCCTCTGCGTGCGTTTGGGGGGGGCCCTACAGAAACCCTTCGCTTCTATGGGCTAGTCGGTTATACAAGGACTCGGGCGCATAGAACTTACAGATTCTTCAGGGTTTAGGGTTTAGGGTTTAGGGTTTAGGGTTTAGGGTTTAGGGTTTAGGGTTTAGGGTTTAGGGTTTAGGGTTTAATTGTTGCTGCAGAAACCTGCGGCTACTTCGAACTCTTATTTCCAGCATGCCTACTGCCCTTACCTGGCTCGTCTTCGGATTGTCTACATGTAACTCCTGACAGTGCGGCAGCGTTTTGTCCAGCCAGGGCCCAAAAGATACGAAACTCAGGGTCAGGGGCCTTGAGCACTCAAATACCTTCTGATGATTTTTGGGGGTATGGAGCATTTCGTCGTCGCGCATTTTGCGCTTCAGGTCCCGGGCCGTAGGACTTAGGTGATTCGGGAACTTGGGTTTGGAGGTTTGAACATCAGGATGTCGTTCATGACGTGATCTTGGTCCACTACCCCACTCTTCGGCGCGATTCGTTTTGGGACGTGACCTGTGAGAACCCTGACCGCTGGCTTCCCTTTTGTCTCTTTCCTGCTGGAATCTGACGCAGCTCCTGCTTTAGCAGAAGGGCACGTTGTGGGGAGGGGCGGGTGTCGCCTCTACCGTTTCCGCCAGCCTACCAGTCATGTGTGACTGGCAAAGGTCTGCGCATTAAAACGGGCGTGTCTTCAATCGAAGACCAGACTCTGGGCTCGGCTTCATTGGCTTCGTGAGCCGCTGCTGCAGATTCACGATTGGCTTTTTGCAGCCACCGCCGCCAACTAGATGCATAGTGGCTGCAACACCAGAAGAAAGACCATGCCCGCCAGGCCAAAGTCACCGCTGACAGCACTGGCCGTGCTGAAGTCGTCTCGGGGGTTGCTGCTCTCCTTGGAATTGCTTCGCAGGCCTAGACCGAGGAAAAAACATGCGCTACCCCTCTATACACGAACCATATGGGGTAAAATTGCCTCAACAGCGGGTATCATTGCTGACGCTCTCGGCAGAATCGTTCACACTGATGGTGCTGCCGGAATCGTCGCTGTTGCTCGTGTCATTGTTGGTGTCATCGTTAATGTCATCGTTGGAGTCATTGTTGGAGTCGTTGCTGGTGTCATTGCTGCTGGTGTCATTGCGGGAGTCGTGGCTAGTGTCATTGTTGGGGTCGTCGTCTGTGCTAGTACTCGTCTCGTTCCTGGTGTGATTGCCGGCATCGTTGGTGGTGTCACTGCTGGTGAGGTTGCTGAAGGTATCATTCTCACTGCTATTGTTGCTGCTGGTGAAGTTGCTGATGCACGCGCACAGCCGTCTCCAAGTGTTCGGCTTAGTTTGGCACCGAAAGGTGGACTCGGGCCTGGATTTGCCACTGAGGATGCAGTTTCCATTTGAGGGCGACCACGCCGGCGACAAAGCGCCTTCTGGGGCATCTGCGTAGAAGCCTAGACCCAAGAGCAACCTAGGAATACAAAAAGGGCGCCTGTTTTGGGTGCTTATAAGGGAACCTCAACCCTAAAAAAGGAAATAAGGGCCTACTCCGGGTCCTAGTAGCCCTAAACCCTAAACCCTAAACCCTAAACCCTAAACCCTGAACCCTAAACCCTTAAAAAAGTGAATAAGGGCCTCCCTCACCTAGAAGCTTTGGCACGTGACACCCAGGCTGCTGAGCACCTGCCTCATCTCAGCGTTGCTGTCGACTTCTTGGTTCAACTGCGCGAAGTTCTGCGGGGTGCAGATCTTGCCGTTGCGGGCACAAGCATCATCACCTAGGCTTCGAAGTAGCGGCCAAGGAATAAATGCAGAAGCTTTTTTGCCTTCTTTGATGGGGGGGGGGGGGGGGGGGGGGCGGGGCAGAAAGCCTCCACCCTAAACCCTATCCCCTAAACCCTAAAACCCTAAACCCTAAACCCTAAACCTTAAACCCTAAACCCTAAACCCTAGCCCTAAACCCTAAACCCTATCAAGCGAAAAAACTGGTACGCTACTCAGGAGCCCAGTCACAGCTCTCCTCCAACCTGCCCTTGACCCACGGATAATCAGCTCCTAGCACCGAAGTGGTCGTGCTCGTGGTGGTTGGAATGTATGTACCTTAAAGGCTTTGGGCTTGGGGTTAGTTTAGGGTTTAGGATTTAGAGTTTAGGGTTTAGGGTTTAGGGCTTAGGGTTTAGGGTTTAGGGTTTAGGGTTTAGGGTTTAGGGTTTAGGGTTTAGGGTTTAGGGTTTAGGGTTTAGGGTTTAGGGTTTAGGGCTTAGGGCTTAGGGCTTAGGGCTTTAGGGTTTGGGTTTTGGGTTTAGGGTTTAGGTTTAAAGAGCTGTCCAGGTGAAAAAATGCATGGGGCTCAGGGTTTTGTGGTTCAGGGTGTAGGCTTACATCAGGCTTAGATGGCTTCTTTGGGGTTAAACCCTAAACCCTAAACCCCCTAGACCCTAGACCCTAGACCCTAAACCCTAAACCCTAAACCCTAGGGGGATAAATCCAGTAGAGCACCATTGCACTCGCCCAAGGGGTCAGAGGTCGTCTCCATGAACCAGCAGTTGTAGATCCGTTCCGCTTTTCCGCAGCCGATGGCTTTCCTAGTGGTAGGCCCAGGAACCCTAATTACGATAAGGGTGCCCTTTTCCACTTTTCCGAAGCCGATGGCTTTCCTAGTGGTAGGCCCAGGAACCCTAATTACGATAAGGGTGCCCTGTTTGGGGTTGGTTACTTTACAAACGAACCTTAAACCCTAAACCCTAAACCCTGAACCCTAACCCTAAACCCTAAACCCTAAACCCTAAACCCTAAACCCTAGACCCTAAACCCTGAACCCTAGAGAACCCTAGAGCCAAAGAAAGGGCACCAAAGGTTGCCACTGGGCCACCAAGTCTCAGGTTCGTCCACATCCCCGACGTTCGCATGACTGCTCCTCGGATGGCCAGGTATACCAAAAAAAAGCCCTCTCTGAAAAAAGGGTGCTCCTCAATATTAGGGTTTAGGGTTTAGGGTTTGGGGTTTAAGGTTTAGGGTTTAGGGTTTAGGGTTTAGGGTTTTGGGTTTTGGGTTTTGGGTTTTGGGTTTAGATCATCCAAACAAATATCCCCAATTGGGCCGAGGCTCTGTGCCCGGAGCTGCCATGCCAACCGTCGATGGCGCGCGAATTGCTACCTAGGATGGCCCCTAAAGCCCTCTGAAAATTAAGGGTTTAGGGTTTAGGGTTTAGGGTGTAGGGTGTAGGGTGCAGGGTGTAGGGTGTAGGGTTTATACCCAGCTGCTGTAGTCCTTGGCCGAAATCTCGAACCCGGTTTTGTCGATGGACGTCAACATTTTGTTCCACATGCAGTTGCTGTTTCCGCTGTTGTGACCTGACTAGCTCGAGAAGGCTGCAAAACAAAAGACCCTAAACCCTACATCCTCTTACACCACAACCTTCGGCTGCGACGGGTACACCAAAATCTTGAAACCCTGAACCCCAAACCCTAAACCCTAAACCCCAAACCCCAAACCCCAAACCCTAAACCCTAAACCCTAAACCCTAAACCCCCATTCCCTAAACCCTAAGAACCCTGGGCAGCATGAGTCTTCAGAGCCTTGCGGTGTGCCTTGGAGCCAGGCCCCGAACCCAGCCTCGATCCACACATGCCGGATACAAAAGCCCATAGCCATCCGTGCCAATACTTCTATTTTGTATACTTATTTTATGCTTTATTTGTTTAAACTATACTTGTATATATATATATATATATATATACATGTATAGATATGGATTGTGTTTATTTATTTAAGTATTTGTGTACTTATTGATATGTACCCCCACCCCTCCCCCCCTCCCCCAATATAGTGCCTACCTCTCTGCTTGTCTTCTTCCTGCAGGTGTATATGTATATATGAGAACCGAAATTCTACTTGGAGGTTCATGGTACTTATTGACCAAGTATAACTGTACTTACAACCCACTTATAAGCCCCTTAAGAGCCCTAATATGGTTGTAAGCACAGTTATCAGTACAGTCTTAATAAGTCAATAAGTACCATGAACCTCCAAGCAAACCCCAGTATTCGCATACATACTCCAAAGAATCCCAAGCGGATCGAGCTTCGGGCAGAGGCCCTCGGCCCGAAGCCTAGAAGAAGCTACATTCAGGTTAGGGGTTAGTTTGGGTTTAGGGTCTAGGGTCTGGGGCCTAGGGTCTAGGGTCTAGGGTCTAGGGTTGAGGGTCTAGGGTCTGGGGTCTAGGGTTTAGGGTTTGGGGTCTAGGGTCCAGGGTCCAGGGTCTAGGGTCTAGGGTCTAGGGTCTAGGGTCTAGGGTCTAGGGTCTAGGGTCTAGGGTCTAGGGTCTAGGGTTTAGGGTTTAGGGTTTAGGGTTCAGGGTTCAGGTTTAGGGTTCAGGGTTTGCCGTAGCCCTGTGTTTTGCAGGTCAGAAGCAGCACGCCGTCCAACGAGGCGGATCTTCCGTGTCCGGGCCCCAGGAATGCAAGTCGCAATTGCTACCTGCCAGGGTGAGTTTAGGGTTTAAGGTTTAGGGTTTAGGGTTGAGGGCCTTGGGGTGGTTCAAGGTGGCTTCGGGCTTGAGGCGGGCTGGCTGAAGGCTTACCGCAACTTGCTCATCGAAGCATTCAGCAGCTCAAACCTCCCAGCTGATATCCTGGATGGTTCGCCTTGATCGTAGCAACCTGCTGGTGTCCCAAAAGAGGGTTTAGGGTTTAGGGTTTAGGGTTTAGGGTTTAGGGTTTAGGGTTTAGGGTTTAGGGTTTAGGGTTTAGGGTTTAGGGTTTGGGGTTTAGGGTTTAGGGTTTGGGGCAAGCTTTGGGTTTAGGACCCTTTTGTGAGGTCCCTTTAAGGGGATTCTATTCTATTTGGGGTGTAAACGGGGTTCCCTATTGGGACATACCCACCTGTGTCTCACAGTTTCAGAGGGCGTATACTGTGATAGTGGGCATGGCAACCATGCGCAAAACCCTATAGCCGACCCCGCATCCTTCACCCACACCCGCCCGTGCCTCGATGAGGGAAGGTGAGACTTTGAGAGGTGCCAGCCCCGCATCCATGCGGTACTGATTTACATCTTCTGCCAGCTTGAGACCATCTTCGATGCACTCCACTGCAGCCGCTGCACTTGTTGGAAGAAGCATGAGCAGCAAAGCGCAGCACTTCGGAAGCATGGCCCAAATTTTTACCGAGATGTGAAACGTTCTGCTCATCGCGGTTCAGAGCAAGAGCAAGGCTGAACGGGACGATGACACAATGCTGGCAGTCACTCTAACGGCGAGTCAACCAGCACCCTGGGTCAGTCGGCCCACCAATCACGAAATCGCCCTTCAACCCAAAACCCGAAATCTCCAGGCAGAGAACCCCCTACTTGGAGGTTCATGGTACTTATTAACCAATTATAACTGTACGCATACCCCACGGAATAGACCCTGAAGTGCCCTAATATGCTTATAAGTACAGTTGTGAGTACAGGTAGAATTCGTTGCTAAGTACCATGAACCCCCAAGGACACCCCTGAGATGTCAGACCGGCGTAGATCCCAAGCAGTGTGGGGCACCGCGGTCACATTTCACGAGAAGAAGGGGGAGCCGGGGTGGGATAATGGCAGCAAGAGTTTTAGGGTTTAGGGTTTAGGGTTTAGGGTTTAGGGTTTAGGGTTTAGGGTTTAGGGTTTAGGGTTTAGGGTTTAGGGTTTAGGGTTTAGGGTTTAGGGTTTAGGGTTTAGGGTTTAGGTGGCTATAACCTACTACTCCTTACAGCAGGGTTTGGGGCTACAGATGTTACAGGCAACGCCTTAGTGTTTGAGCCTCTTTGGCTC